AATGGAAATATTTACTCTTTTATAGATAAAATATTCACGAAAGTAATACCAATCGAACGACTTTCACAACATTCTGAGTTCACTTACGAGGTAAGTATTTTGAAATAAAATATTAACTCTAAGTTTGGACAGATTTTGTCAAAATTAAACTATTCACATAAAAAATGTAAGTTCATTTTTGTTTAAACTGATTTCCTGAAAATTTTCAGCGAGAATGATATTTTAAACCAGATTTTAAGCACTTATTCATTTGTTTGATTATATAAATCTCACATGCTGTTACAACGAAAGTAATTCTTAGTATAATAAGTCAGTCGATATGTGTACATTAAAGTATGGTATGCTTTCTGAAAATTCACAAAGATGTCAAAGTTATTAAGAACAATAAGATATCTATGTTATCTGAAAAAATTTATGTTATTTTTACATTATCGTGTAAAGTGCATTGTATTTACATTTTGCAGGTATTTTGCACTTATAATTTGCCAATATTACTATTCTTCCGAGTGCATTTATTTAAATGTATCCATTTATCCGGAGATAGGAAATCCCGTGCTTTTCGAGTTGCTCTTGAACCAATTTATTTAACTCATTGGAATACAGTTACTGTAACTGCCGTACCGGAAAATACAATCAGTCGATTGGTTCATTATGTAAGAGTTGATGAGGTTGGTTAGTGCGAATGACTTAGAGTTAAGGGTTTTTTACTTCAAGAAGTTTTCTTTGTTAGAAGATTCGGTGTTTAAAGTTGCGAGAAAAGAGTATATATCAAGGAATAAAGATAATATAAACTTCCTTGACGCAAAGTTTGGAAAATCCTCTTGGGTTTTATTTTAGGAGCAAAAAATTACACTACCTGATGCCTTAGTATATTTAATCTGTGATGAAAAACAAACAGAAACGATGCTTCTCAGTTGGATCATCATCAGTACAGTTACGGATGAATGTGATTGTGTGAACTGTGTAGTATTGGATGATGAGAATGTTCGTTGGCCGTTTACATTAGAGATTAAAAAACGAGGACTGAACTATGATGTAGTATTAAAGATGAAGAATGCAAAGATGCGATCTACTTTGATTGATGAGTTGAAAGCAAGAATTTTAGTAAGTTCATCTCAGTCTTATTAATTCCCACTAAAATATCTGGTCATTGACTGATTGACGAAATTATTAATAGATTGAGTGACTAATTAGCTGTTCCCGGTGACTTTTTAATGATAATTCATTAATCATTTTAGCATAAAAATTGTGAAAGGAAAGATATTATACAAATAATATTTGATTAATTTTTGGAACAAAAATGATCGAAATTTCAATTTAAATTCGGGGATTAAAATTTAATGCAGAAAAATGTAGACTATAAGGAGTCATTACAGGTCCGGATGCGATATATCTGGAAAGAGTTAAAGGAAAAGGAAGACTGTGAATTACTTCTGGATAATAAGTCACTATCTGACTGTTTCGCTTCTCTTATTGCTAAATATAAGCGTTGATAAACTTGACTGGTAACTGTTAATGGAGCAATATATCATTATTTCACTGATAAAAATGTTTGCGAAGGCAATATCTCATTGGCAACTCCGATAATATGATAATTGATAGCTCTAATAAACTAACTCTTCTTTAATAACGATCACTTCTGCTGAAAAATGGTTTTTCACGTTCCACACATGTGAAGAATAACATGACTTCTGCTGGAAAGTGTTTTTTTCACGTTCCACGCATATGCTTACTTAGCTCACTAAAACGTAATCATGAAGCTTAGCTACTGAATACCATTATTCAAGAGTATGCAGCTCGAAAAAATTGCTGCTTATTTAACCAAAGAAGATACCGAAGATGGGACGTGATGATGTCATAAAGGACAGCGGTCGTCAGGTGCAAAATGACGTTTGGAAGTTGCTTAAAGTGATTTCACGTTTAAACGTTGACTTTAAGCAGTGAGTGGGATTCAGATCTGTATGCGAGACTTGAGGTTTCACTTTGCATAAAAACGTATTGTTGATGATTTCGGCTGATAATGTGTGATTTCATATGAAAATGCAGTTAAACCTGAAATTGTCTTACCTTTGTCTATGTTTTCTTGCGGAGTTTAGATTTGTTCTCTTGTTTCATGTGTAAATTTAACCGAAATTGGATGTATTTTCGTTTTTCGAGAAAGTTTATATTTGATTTTGTTGTTTAAAAGGATCAGATTTTGTTGCAGGTGTTTGTCGTTCGAAAATGGTGCGTAAATTAAAATTTCACGAGAAGAAATTGCTGAAAAAGGTTGATTTCATCTCGTGGGAGCTTGATAATAATATTCATGAGGCGAAGATTTTGCGAAGATATCACATTAAGAAACGTCAGCATTACTCGATGTATAATACGTTGGCAGCTAATGTTAGTTTGTACATATTGTACACATGTTTGTTTTTCAAATGAGTTGAAGAGATTGCGGAAGTTAATTCTCATTGATTTCTTTTAGACTTTATGTTACTGCCGTGAAATTATGATTTATTATGAATGTTGTCAAACGATCATATAACAATATTAAGGATTGCAATATGAATTACATGGAAACTTTTTTAATGTCTATGATGATGAAAGCAAAATTGTAAATCAATCATCGTTGAAATCGGATTTGTGCGAACCAAATACGTGAATGTGATGAAGTGTTGCTATGTATAATTACTAACAGTTGCTGATTTGTCACTAGTAACTTTTAGTTATAGTATTATTTACAGATTCGAGAAATTGCACTGAAATTAAAAGAGTTACCACTGAATGATCCATTTCGTTTGAAAACGGTTCGAGAATTTTTGGAAAAACTGTATACCGTCGGATTGATACCGACTGCTGACACGCTCGAACGTGCCAGTAAAGTTACCGCTTCTTCATTTTGTAGGCGACGATTGCCGGTATATTATGATTTCTATTTTATCTCATTAAAGAAAACGATCTAGAAATCAATCCATAAATTATGTTTTTACTCCACCATGTTCTTTGAGACGTTTCAAAGGTTTTCTGTGCTTCAAGAATGTGTGCAGAAGTGCATGCAGAAAAAGCATTATGTTTAGAATGTTCAGCAAATTTTCTTTCCATCAGTTTTATCGTATTGCAGGTAATTATGAAACGTCTAGAAATGGCGGAAACTATACGAAATGCGAGTGATCTTGTGGAACAAGGGCATGTACGTGTCGGAATAGAATTAGTGACTGATCCTGCATATCTAGTTACTCGAAATTTGCAAGACTGTATTACATGGACGAAGGACTCAAAAATCCGGAAGCATATTCTCAACTATAATAATGAACGGGATGATTTTCTGTTATGATAATTTTTATTCTTTTAATATGTGCTATCGAGTTTTTTCTTCAGATTTTTATTAATTTATAACATGAGAATGCGGTGAATTAGAATGAGGTTTATCCAGCCATTTATTACTTAGTAAATTTAGTGAATGAGGCGACTACATATTCATGCATTAGCATCCTAAATATTGTTTCCGAGATTAAGGTTGTAAACAGGATCGTAAGCCATGCGCCTATATTCCGCTGGCCGGCCCTAATTGGCTGGTACGTAACACTATGTTTCGGCTATATGTAGTTAAATATTAAATGATCGGATGTTATGTTATATCGGATGTGTTGGATATTGTTCTGCACTTGAGTTTTGTAAGAGCTTTTTCCTTAAGAAGAAAATTTATCCGCATTGATTGCCGAAAAAGTATTATTCTTTTGCCATTTACACTCTCTGAAATATACTTTTCACTATTCATCGATACTGTGCTAGGCAGATATTCAAAATAGATTTCGAGGTTAGATTTCAAAGATTGATGTTGTTTGGAATGTTTTTGATTATTTATCTCAAGTTTACTATTTTTCAATTTATACAATTGTTTTATTATATGTATATAAGATGAAAACAAAGTAAAAAAGCATTATTTCTGTGATGAGTTCTTTATTTGCATGGTTTTTTTTCGTTAACATACCAAATAGGTACTGTTTCCTTACATAGGTCATTTTGTTTGACTGTTTAATTTCGTTCCAGATGTCAACTTTAAGAAAAAACACATTTAGCTGGTCTGCAAATTATACTTAATTACAATAGCCCAGCAGTAATAGCGGAACATAACCAAATGTAAGTAAACTTCATATGATTCTCAACTTGATATGATAATTTTCTAAAATTTCAAACAAAATAAGAAGCGTATCTATAAATGTTATGCATTTTCTCTCGTACAGAAGAAGCTCATGATGATTTTTGTTCAGTCGAACAATTGACAGATTTTAAATTTCATTCAGACATGTTCATTATGTAAATCGTGCATTGGAAAGGAAATGTTTCTTTGTTTGATTTCGTGTGCATTTTATCCAATCTTGCGCAAAATGTGATATAGAGTGACTTGATGAGGTGGCATAACGAGATATCAGGTCAACGTTGGGATTACCGTTGAAGTTGCCACATAAACCACAAACCTAGAATATAGCAGTGTATCTCAGCTCTTCTATTGCTATATTTTTTTTTTGTTTAACCTGCTATGTTGGATCTTTTCTAATCACATTTACGCACTAACTTTCAAACTCTTCAACTAATCCTGCCTGGAATTGACTTCTTACTCCGATGTTTGTAATTAATGAAACGAGCATATACCATTATAAATTCTTGGACCCAATCATATTTCAAAGTTAGATCTCTTCAAGATAAATCGTTTGTAGGGGAATTTATATCGAATATCTAATGAAATTTAACATGAGTCATATGATTTTAAATAATAAAAAATACCTTGGATTGATGTCGTTTGGTGAGGACAATTTCAACAAACGATTCCCCATCCCAAATTACTTTCAAACCGATTAATTTAAATGAAACAACAATATGTCCATTGGAAGGATCCTCGAAAGCTCGATATTCTGGCCAATCACTGTAGCGAACATATGGAATAGTAATTATTTTCGTACGTTCGCGTATAACCTTAAAAAGAACTTTTAAATGTGGTCGATGTACGGTTATCACAATCTCAAAGTAATTTGGATTCTTTTTCTTTATTTTATATTATTTTAGCAAATTTCAATTCATAAATTCAGAAAAAGTTGTGACCTTTTTTGGTAATAAATGTACGGTGAAGTAAGTTCCATTGAAAAGTGAAATGTAAATAATTACACGTCGTATCCGCGTAAACGATGATCGTTCACTGTTTACGCCAATTATTTTGAACTGTGGATCAATCCTATAAATAAAATATGAACTTGCAATATTTAACTTGACAATTCATTATTAATTTTAATCTTCTGTTATTGCAATTAATTAGAACTAATTGTAAACATTTCTCAAATTTATCATAAATTCAAATCAATACCCATTACGCGAGCATTCCTGCGTGAAAACGTAACTACACGTTCCTTGAAATGAATAACCAAATTTGTCGAATGTTACATAATTTGGATCACCAAATATAGTACATGAACTTTCTTCTATAAATAACAAGCAATTGTTTGTTCAAGTACTAAATTATTTCACGACAAAATTTTTCTATCATTGAAATAACATTTTATCATTTAGGATTACTGATTTTAAAAAATCATAATTAATGAGAATGTCAAGATTAATATAATGATGATATTATTACCATAAGAAACATTGAATTTGGACATCACGAAAAAAAAAACATATCGATTAAGGTGAGATTAATTTTATAGAGTACTTATTTGTACACAATCAATAATGGAAGGAAGAAGGTAAATGATTAAAATGGATCGAATTTTAAAAAATGCTCAAAATTCGCAAATATGAATTTTTTTATGAAGCACGGTCATTTATTTTTCATCATAGTAGCAGTTAATTACTGCTGCTAATTTACTAGTAACAGCAATTAATTGTTTGGTTTTTATCGTTTTTTCTTTACCAACAGTAATTAGTTGGTTATTTGTTTGTCTTTTTCCTATGCCTATAAGCTTTAATTTTTCCTTTAAAATAATATAAAACAAATTATAAATTAGTTTTTTTTATTTTTTTTTTCAAATTTATTTCCATAAATTAAGGATTAATGCAATGATTTGTATATTTATCTCTTATAATAACTTTCAGGTGTATATTTACTTAGCTCACATTCATGACAGCATGATCCATTCACTTTTTTGAAACGTCGTCCTTGTGGACATTTTCCTTTCCATGTACAATCAATTTTTTTACATTTTATATATCCATTAGTACATATGCAATTGGAGCAATTATTATTCAATGTCCACTTTGTGCCATGCTAAAATATTGATTGATTGATTTTTTTTTGATTTACCATATCATATATATATATATATATATATATATTTTATTGGTTTCAACGCATTTGATTAGATAAGAAATTCATTGAAATGTCAGTGATATTTCTTTTGGTTTAAATGATAACCTTCATAATGAACTTTATTCATTGTATTGAATTGGATGACCACTGGATAAGTAATTCATTGAATGATCCTACCGGATGAAATAGCTTGCTTACCTCTACAATGATTTCACTTCCATTGATATCAGTTCTTCTGCATCGATTTTCTTTCCTGTAGCAAAATGGACAACAAACATTCGGTTTATAAAATATGTGTGATATGTCACAATTTTTGAATGGACAAACAAATCTGAAAATATGAAAAATGCAAAATACACGGGAAAGAATAATGTTTTTGAATGACAATAAGACAGTAAACATTTCGAAAAATATCAGAAGTAAGATTTTGGATTGAATGAAATTTTGATCAAGAAAGACCTTCGACAGACAATTCCGCCTGGCTGACAGGTGCAACGTGAGCATGGATCTGTACGAAATGTATCGTGCACGGAATAGTGCCATCCACGAAACAAACAATGCGAACCGTTTGACACTGTCAATTTTGAGTCTTTCGAAATAACAGTATGACTTTTGCATTCCGGACAACATCTGAAAACTACAATAACTGATAAGATTATCTAAAAATGAGCTAATTCAATTACAAATAACAAACTGGTAATCTATTTTCAGCCCAAAAAAATGAACATTATTTAGCTTGCAAGGAGGGCTAATTTTACAAATGAAATAAAATTCTGATAAAGATTTGACGAAAATTTAAAAACACCTCTTGGGATGTTTCGTATGTTGAGAAATTGGACAATTCAATACAGGACAAGTAAAACGATAACAATGATACCATTGATTTAATACCAAATCACATCGAATACATCGATCCTCAGCTTTTATTGGTGTTAAGCATAATTCACAACAAAATCCAGCCAACAAACGTTTATTTGAGCAATTTGATACACATTGAATCCGCCAACTTGTTATGATCCCAGCCTAGAATTTTATTCCCATGTGAAAAAATCTTAATTCAAAAAGAATATTCGACAAGTAATAATGCTTGTTTGCAAAACATGAAGTGAAATATTAGTTAATAATAACAATAATAATTTGTTGAAAAGAAAAATAATGAAAATGAAATGAAGCAAATAATTTAGGCATTTATTATTTTACAAATAAATGATAGAATATAATTTCATGGATTTTCAACTTTAAATTTTGATCTTAATTAAATGGTTAAATTTAAATTTATGCTTGAAAAAAAGAAGGATTACTTTGCATGAAATTTGGGTGCATTCATCCTGTGTACTTGTCCAAATTTGATTATTATTTCGTTTAATACCCAAATGAATGCAATGCAAGCATTTTATACAGCATGTATTATTATTACGATCCCATACTGTTGGACAACTCTTCAACGATTCACATTTTTCTAATATGCATGCTATTGTACCATTCTGAAAAGAGCTGAATAATTTGAATGATACTGCATAATGTCCTGAATGATACTCAATGATAATCTTAAATAGCTCTTTTCAGTATTAATGATTTGAATGGGATTCTATAAGGATGTGAACAGTACTCTGTAATAACCTCAATGCTGTTCCATAATGATCTCAATGAATGGTACTTTAGTAATGAGTTGAATGAAACTCCATAAAATGGAGTATTAATTGAAGTTGATGGTACTCCAGTAACGATTTGAATGGTATAACGCAATAGTTTAAATGGTATACTGTATGATAGTTTAGAAATAAATGACTTCAATGGATTCTGACAAGACATGAATTTCGTTTGAATAATAGTTTTCGCAGGAATTTATAAAGACCAAGATTTATAAAATACTAATTAAACTTGATAATTGCTTCTCAGTGAAGTACAATGATCAGAGTTAATGAGATTGTCAAATCAAATCAACAAACATGGTGAATTTCCCGATATTGTTGTCAAGATTATTGGTTTTCGAAAAATGGCTAATTATCATTCTATTTAATTCTATGCAGTGATCAAATGTATTGATAATTTATATCATTCTTAGCTTTGACAAAATACATTTCAGCAATGTTTTTGTGATTTATTTGGAGTGACTCCAGAATTAAATCTCTTCAAATGAGATCAAATTAAACAGATCAAATTTCTCGACAGATATCAAAACGGTATTTCCTTGAATTGATAGCTTCAATAATCATTAAAATTCTATTAATGAAGTAATAAATGACACCAACCTTGCACACGCAATGATAGCAAGGTGACGTGACCAAGCCACGTGTTACATCTGCCAAATTGATCTTGGCACCTTCTTTTGTACACGGTATTCCTGAAATTTTAAATTTCAAATTATATAAAATTAAACATACAGTTATTGAAAATTTTTTGCGAATGTAGCAAATAGTACAGATTGAGATGATAATAGTATTAATCTTAATATTTATACCACTCATTATGATCGCAATTTTAATGAAACGAAAGAAAGGACACCGTAGAAATGGAATTTTTTTTTAAGTTTTAAAAAGCTTTAGCATCCTTTATCAATTTATTAAATATGCATTTGCTAAAAACTTATCAATTTTTGCAGCAAATTCAATTTATAATCCTTTTATTATAATTTATAAAAATTCAAAGAATGAAAGAAAAAACTAACCTTGACCAGTAAGTTGACTATTAACTTGTATTAATAGAAATATTAGTAAGAAAATAATAATGAAAATAGTAATACAGTACACACTTTTACAAATCATATATAAATGGTAATTGATATTTAAAGCAGTGAGTGGTAAACCATAAAAGACTCAACTTGTTGACCAATTATTCGTTTTACTGTCAATCGAAATATGATAACATTTTTTTTTCCTTCTTCTTCCCCTTCCTTATCATCAATGATAACGCACTGTAAGATCTAATGAATGTGTATTTCATCAAAGATAAATTCACCAGAAATTGCTATCCTATTTTGATTTGCAAATCCAAACCGTCCTTTTTTTCTTTTTTGTTACTTTAGACTAATAAACTCTTTTTCGTCGATTGATTGATAATTTGAAAGTACGGAAGTTCATCTCATCAAAAAAAGAAACCAATATACTTAGCGGAAATAACTTACCCGTTTAAAATACTTTTTGATGATAAATAATGTTACAACTAATTTGTTAGGCTTATAATGCCTTATGCTCAACAATACTGTAAATTTTTGATTTGCAAAATGAGTTCTAAGAAAAGTTGAAAATTTTAATTTAACCATTTTTAAAAGTGTTTGATAAAATACAAAATATTTATTATCAAAACAATAGTAATGAATACAGGATTGATGTGAATTTTGAAGTTTTTTTTTTTCATTCATAAAAATATCAAAATTGTGTACAGTTTAACATTGATGGAGAATGTAAAAATCCTTATCAGTTGCCTATAATTACTTATCAACAAATGAACAGTCGCTACTTATTGAATTCATCAGAAGGCAATAAACCGGAAATTAATGGATCAATAATTGATTCAGATTGTTGTGATTCATCATCTTCTTCCTCTTTGCTGTCTTCATGTATATAATCCATTGTACCACAACTACCTTCAGAAATACTTTGTAATAAATATTTTAAATCATTTGATGTCAAATTAGTATTTAAATCGATCGGTTTAAATGTTGATATTGCCCATTTGATGCGTTCCCAAACCGACTGAAAAATTATTAATATATGAAATATAAAACTAACGTATATCATTCATCTTCCACATCAAATATTACCACTAAAATCGCTAAGAGCATTGCTTATCAATGAAACTGTTGATCATCCAATCTCTCCTAATTTTTCTTATCAACTTCAGATAAAGATTAAAAAATATTACTATATAATAACACAGTATTTGCTGTATCTTTATCAAGAAAAGAATAAAAATATTTATGTATTACCTGTCCGGAATTATTGACAATCGTACCATCCAGAGGTAATGGATTTCCCTTAAGGGAAGTTATCAAATGTATCAGATTCAATGCAGCTGATAATGATAAAGCAGCCGAACGTAACGTATCATTTAACTGTTCTAAGCGATCTACACAACATAGTATCTATAATTTTTCCTTAATAAATTTCATAATTATAAATTGAACTAAAAAAATAAAAAAGTAGAAAATCTTTTGTTAATAATAATATAATCAAAAAATCAATCTTTTCCAGTAATACAATTTCTTTTCATTTCTTTTATTTAAAAGAAGTTTTTTTTTTTGAGAAAATAAAAAAACTTGAAGAACTGAAATTTGAAACTAATCATGTGAACCTGTTGATATGTATAATTTAACAGAGTATTCATATGATCCACTTCGGTTGGTCGTTCATCTTTTAGTTTTGTTAATATAGTTGCTTGAACGTTACGTAAAAGAGTGCAGAAGCGTTCTAATTCTTTTTCTTCCTTCAATTTTCTTTTTTCATGCTAAAAAATAAAAAGGAAACATGATTAAAAACAGGAAAGAAAAAAAAACTTGAAATTAATAGAGGCTAAACTGATTTGTTGGAGAAATCGTACCATACAAAATAAAAGTTGTCACCAAATGTAAAAGTTTCACTGAATATGGAAGTAATGTCATCATCGAAAATAAAATAATTTTATTACCGAATTCATTTCCCTGTCTAAAATAATAAAGTAAATTTTGATAGAAAAATCATAAATATTTCGTAGCAACTATTATTCCGAAATTCAGGATCATTCGGAATGTTGAGATGATTCAATTCTGTATGATTTTAAATTCAATTCATAATTTTTGATGAAATTTTAAATCATCCACCTCAACGTATGCATTAATTTCATGAAGAATCTGATCAAATGGAAGTGTACAGTTCAGTTTTGCTTCCGGTTGTTTCTCATGTATCCTTGTGATTAATTCATCGGCAAATAAATAAATGAAATTTAGGCTTTCAGCTTGGATTCGATATCGCTCTGAAATTAAAAAGTAATCATTTTTTTTTTATAAAAATTTCTTGAAAACATTTGAGGATTACTTTTCGGATGAAAAAAGAGTGAAAAAGAGGACAAGAGTTGAATTGAAATTTACTCACTGTATTTCTGAGAGGCAAATATTGAAATAACCGTTCCTGATAAATATGGTTGAAAGCCAACCGCTGTATTATTTTCAGCTTCAAATTCTGAACGCATACGGTAATTATAGTAATTTTTAATTGTTGATGATTATGGTAAAGATTAAAGTACAGTAGGCTGGATTATTGGAAGTGTTGAATAAGACAAAAAATAGAAGTTATTAATGCATTGTTGTCAGAGGATAAATTCAAAGAAATGATTGTATAATTGATAATGTGATCTTCTATTGGAAATATCATTATGGCCATAACATTGGTATCTTGTTATGTTATTATAACGCTTAAAAATTTAAATATGATTTAAATTAATCAAAATAAGATTTTGATCAAATTCAAATTTACTTTCAACATTTTAAAATATCTCGGATATTTAAAAAACTGCTAATTATTATGAATTCTTCCATTTAGGAAAAGGTAGAAAAAAGGAAAATAACTGAAATAAATTACCGGGAAATAATTGTGTTATATCGAGAGCAGATAATGATGATTCGATGGTTATTTTGTATCGTGCATTTCGTTGAGTGCTTACGGCACGACACATCAAATTTAAAGGCATTTTCAATTCTTTACCTATTATATCACCTTAACAAAAAAGTTCAAAAAATTATGAAGTTTGAACAAAATGTTTTAATCACAGATTGTATAAAAAAGAATTAAAAAGATAAAAAGACAAAATTTATTTGTTAATAATAAATTGCATGAATATAAGCAAATATGAAACTATTTATCAAAAAGCTGCAAAAAATGTGGAAAATTTCTAAAATTTCAAAATAGAATAACTAATTCGTATTTAACTAAATGTTTTATGTTTTATTATCGTTTTTTCTTATCATTCAAAATTTCTATCAAGAATTTTTTTCATCACTGTTATTCTTAAATTACTTTTATTGGATAAAATATCATGTTATTTTTTGATTTCAAAATAACATAAACTGTTCCATTTGCTAAAATATTCAAAGTTATAATCACCAAATTTTTAATAAATACTTCGAATTATATTAATTTTGATAAAAAAATTAAAAACAAACCAAATTGTGAAGAGAATGCAAAAAATTTACATCGCAAATCATATACAGGTTGATGTAAAACGTACACACCAGTTGATAATTCTTGTGAGCTATCTAAAATTGATTTTGATGGTGAAAAAACGCTCTTATAACTTTTTTCTCCTTTTTTTTTAAATTGATCAATGCTATTTAAAATTCGAAGGAAAATAAAACTTATCAAATTGATGACCAAGAAAAATATTGAATGATTAATGAAAAATAACTATTAAATTTTAAATAGTTTAAATTTGAGACACTTAGAAATCAAACAATTTTTTAAGTTTACTAAGCTTATCCATGAATAAGTTTTGTGAAATCATTCCAATCATCCGAATAATTTAATTATGATTAGTTGATTATGTGATAAGACAAACCAATGGCAGGAAATGATGTATATTTATGTTCAATGTGAAATGCTGCTGAACATACCAATTTGACATCAAGTAAATGTACTTCGCTCAATAATTTAATGTTTAACGTTAAAGATGGAACTTCTTCTGATGATTTTTCTGCTCGCTAAAGATAGTTAAAAATTTTAATAACCATTACACTTTTCATTCATACAACCATTATTTGAATGAAAAATAAATCAATTTATAAATCTAACTTTAAAATTTAATTTTTGCTCTTTCTATTTCTATTTCCTAATTATTTCTATTGTAGCAAAATATTTTCCTCCTAACACTCAAGCTCCTAATATTTCAAAAGCTATTTCAAATAATCTAAAGCGACGCTTTTCATTTTGAAGTAGAAATGATGAAATCAACTGATAAATTTAGAATCATACCGATTTAGAATCTAAGCCATCGTATGAGCAATTCAATGTTAATAAATTTTTTGGTGTAGTACCTATAAAAGATGAAAACTTCTTATTAATAGATTGTTTTTTTTGAAGAATAATTTCAAATTCAGAAAAAAGAAATAGTCAACATGACAAAGTTTAAAATAAGAAGAATTCTCATTATTATCGGTAGAAAATATCAATCAATAAGCGAAAATATCTCTCAGTTCTTTCCCCGCCTGATTGAAAATATTTCCCGCTTCTATTCCCATTTATCGGATAAATTCTTCGATATTTCTTCCTCACAGACATTTTATTCTTCGTACAGTCAAAAAGATGTAAATAGAAATTTAACAAAAAGGAAAAAATTAAATACCTTCAACTGATTCCAGTGGCTTTTTATGTATTAATGCTTCAAGTTCAATGAATTCTTTGTGACGCTGTTGGAAATCAATGAAGCGCGTTTGTGGTGCTGGAAGACGAAATAACGATGGTTCAGTACCCAAATAACTAACAGATATTTTCGAATTCGATAAAATTACCAGCATTGAACGATATACTGAGCTTAAACAATACAACAACAATAATAATAATCTATAAAATATTGATTTTATAAAATGAAAAAAGTTAAACAATAGGCCAAAAATTAATTTTTCCAATTATCATATTGTTTCCCATAATAGTCAATGAAATTATATCAAAAATGTCACAAACCTAAAAGTACATAATCGAACTTGAATTGCATTTTGTAGAAGTTGTGCTGCCCAAACTAATATCGTATCTTTGAAGAAAAGTAACATACGTGCAGCTGTTGCAATGCATAATTTTATATATGCATCATGTGCTATAAAATAGATTTATAAGCATGAAAAGATATGCTATTTTATTAAAAAAATTAATCAATTAAAGAATCAAAGTAAGAAAATGTAATAATAAGTGTTACGAATTATCGACTAAAAAAATGACTGCTAAAATGAATATAGTGATGAAAAAGTCTTTAAAAAATAATCAATAGTTAATTTTAAAGAACTTTAAAGACTGTAAAATTAATCAAATTAATTAAATTGTAGATATTTATATCGGTAATTAAATTTTGGAACTAACTAGAATCGTAGACAAAAAGTGAGATTGCAACACATTGTAAACGATACGTAAATCTTAATGTACCGCCATGAGTTAAACAAAATAAAGTTCGCTTGCAGAGAATAATAATTGACGGTTGCACGAGTGATGTGTCAATCACTTCTAAAT